CCTTTGGTGATTAAATGCACATTAGCAAATTAAAAAAAAATCAAGTATTGTTAACTTATGAGACCATCTTTAAGGTTCAAATTATGAGAAAAACTTTTTTTTTGGTGGTATTGGGGATTGAACCCAGGACCTTCTCACCTAGCCACATCCCTAGTCCTTAATCCTTTTCTCATTTTTTGAGATAAGGTTTCACTAAGTTGCTAAATTCCCCAGGCAGAGTTCGAATTTGTGGGATCCTCCTGCTTCAGCCTCCCAGAGTGCTGGGATTACAGGCATGTGCCCTAGTGCCAGACCAGAAGACTTCTTAAATAGCATTCCTGCAATATTTCTGGGAAAATGGCCGGGGATTTAGCTCAGTGGTTCCGCCGCTTGCATTGCAAGCACAAGGACCCGAGTTCGATTCCCGGTACCAAAAAAAAAATTCTGGGAAAGAACATTGTTTTTCTTTCTCAATTATATTGTACTCAGTAAACTTATGTGTGTTGGATTAGATGTAAAATTAGACATCCTTAATTTGGCCTTACAATTTCATTAGATTAGAATTGCCCCTTACTATTTTGTGGGTTTTTTTGGTACCAGGGATCGAATTCAGGACCTTGCGCTTTCGAGGCAGGCGGTGGAACCACTGAGCTAGATCCCCGGCCCTGGCCTTTCCTATCTTTGATGTAAAAGGCTGCCTCATCCTTTTTTGACTCAGTAACACCAAAGTTACATTCTCTATGCTTTCATTAAATTGATTATGGTTTGTGTGAAACTAAACAGTTTTAGATTGATTTTTGCATTTTGAAACTTTTTTCGGTCTATGTATAATGTTTTAGTCATGCAGTTGTAGTTTTTTTTTTTTTTACTAATTTAGCTATTTCAATCTTTTTAACTTTGGGAAAGTCATTTAAATTGGACAGCTAATTGAAGGCTAGTTGATTTGTTTATGACTTACAATATTTTTTAAACGTGTAAATATTTGGCTGACAGCTAAAAAAAATCAGTGAAAGTACTTTTTCATATGTAAGATGCTAAACAGTGACCGCTTTTGAAATAGTTTAATTACATTTATTGAACACACTTTGTGAGACCTGCATGAGCCTAGATGCCAAGGTTACAAAGATGTTGAGGGCAGTTCTAACTCAGTTGTTTCCATTTTCATTGCATCTTAAAAACAGGCTGATCAGACAGATAATGCACTGTTGTGACAACATACACTATTTGGTGTCTTTTTTGTTTTGTCTTGCTTTTTGAGACAGAGTCTCACTATGTAGTCCTGGTTGGCCTCAAACTCAGCAATCCTCTCCTACCTCATCCTCCCAAGTGCTAGGATTATAGGCCCGGCCTATTTGGTGGCTTTTGCAAACATCACTATCCATCTTTAGAAGATAGGTGACCATTTTAAATAGATTTTAAGTTGGCTTTACCTCATGTAATTTTCTTCTGCTTTCCCCAACACATGAGTAAGGGTGGGATTGTATAGGGTTTGCTTTCACCTATAACTGTTCATCAGGAAGCAGGTACAGTATTCGCTTCCTTTTACTAAAACAGTGGTGAATGACATGCCTATGAGAATAGATGCAAAAGGCACAAAAGCTTAGTAGCTGACCATGTCATTTGAACAAATAAGACAGATTATTCTGGAGGAATCATTTACTATTTCACACATGCAGGACCAGGAAAGAACCAACCATCAGGTTGCTTGAAATAATAGAAATCTAAAATATAAAGTGACTGTGCCACACCCACCAAACACAGTCTGAAATACATCAGGTTAGTTTCAGAGGTCAGTTTGTGTCTTTGGTTTTCCTCCAGACATTTGGTAAGGTTTTGGTTGTTTCATCAGTGAGTCTACGGGTTTTGTAAAAATACTTTCAGTTAATCTCAGGGCTTTCCAAACCTCAAAAAGGTTAAACACCAACCATTGCTTAGCTGGGTTGCTGTAAACAAAGCCCAGAATGAAACTCCTGTATATTTGCAGCAGGTTCCCAGGCGCCTCGCAAGTGCAGGGCTAAGCATGGAAAAGGCTGAGTGGGTTTATCAGGTAGTCACGGCCTCCCCCAGTCTCCCTGAGCACTGCTTGGGAGAGCCAAAACCTGGGAGTGGATCTCCCTCAGATGTTTGGGCAGAAAGAAGAATTTTATCAGGATAAAAGTGAACTCCCAGAGCTACATAATGAAGGATTGTGAATCATAAGGTATCAGGATAGTTTCCTTGATATATTTAATGAAGAATGGAATGTCTTAACCAAGAGGCCGAACAGTAAGTTTTATGGCAGTTCCTACAAGCAAAACAATCATTTAAAATGAACAATTAATTCAGAATAGCCATTGATTTAAAAGAAAGCTCAGTGGGCTAGGGATTTTATTTTAGCTCAGTGGCACTGCGCCTGCCTCGCAAGCACAAGGTCGTCCTGAGTTCAATCCCTGGTACCAAAAAGAAAGAAAGCTCAGTGTTTAGCTATAGGCATAGCATTCCTTTACAGCTTGCCAGTGTGATAAGAGACACAAACTATGGCTTCTTGTCCAAACCCAGCCTCAGGGAACCCCATCCTGGCTTAGATTCTCTTCACTGCTGTGTGGTTGCAGTTGTCTGTCACCTTCCTGAGGGGAAGATGAGTGCGGAGACCTGTGGTGCTAGGATTTAGTTTGGGCACTGATGAACAGGCTGTGCTTCCTTTGTCCTTGCCGAGGAGAGAAACCAAAGTTTTCTGGAGCTGTTGATGACCAGCAAGGGGACTGTGGACTCTCGACCTCCAGGGCAGGATGTCAGGGTACTAGCTGTGTTACATTGTGCTTTAAAACAGGACTGAGCAAATTAAAGCCGTAACTTCTTTACTTTTTTGTCTCCACTATCTGCTCTGTCATTTGATCCTGGTTTTTCCAGAGCAACACATGACCATTTTCTTGGGAAGCCATTTGCTTTTCACTTATCACATGGGTTTGTCAGATTGAAAAAAATCTGCCTTATTTGAATAAGTCTCATTATAGTTTTTCTTACATGTAGAATACCTTTTTTCATTTTTTTTCTTTCAAAAGAATTCCCAAATGTTTAACTAAAATCATTATCAATTAAGAATATTTTATTTTCGGCCGGGGATTTAGTTCCGTGGTTCCGCCACCTGCCTTGCAAGTCAAGGTCCTCAGTTTGATCCCCGGTACAAAAAAAAAAGAATATTTAGTTTTCATGTTTTAGTAATTCTTACAGGAAACTTAGTTTAGACTTAATTTTTTTTTCGCCCTGTACTAAGGATTGAACCCATGTCCCTTGCACTGAGCTATATCCCCAGCCCTTTTTCATTATCTATTTTTTTATTTTGAGACAGGGTCTCACTGTGTAGGTCAGGCTGGCTTTGAATTCACTATGTAGCCCAGGCTGGTCTTAAACTTGTAGTGATCCTCCTGCCTCAGTCTCCCAAGTGCTAGGATTACAACAAGTGTTTGCAACCACGCCCAGCTTAGACTTAATTTTTCAACTATATCAGTGGCCTTCCGTCTTGTCCCATCTCCTTTCCCTGCCTCCCTCAGCAACAGAACATTGAGGAGGAACATTAACAGTAACTTACTTCTAAGGAAAACTTTAGTGTTTAGCTAATTATTTGGTTACAAAATTATTTTAAGCTCCATTCTTTTCTTTTTGGTACTGGGGATCGAACTCTGAACCTTGCGCTTCTGAGGCAGGCAGCGGCACCACTGAGCTAAATCCCAGGCCCTTAAGTTCCTTTCTTAAAAACTTTATAAATCCTCTGTCCATATTTCTGAACCTCCCTCTCTCACCCAATGTTTGGCTACACCTCTGAGTCACTTTCACGGATCCTTGCTGGGTGGGGTGTACTAACCAGGGTTGGAGTGGAAGGGTAATCCAGAGGCAGATCCTGAAGTTTTTGTTTGGCTTATATATTTAAATTTATCTCTAAAATAACTTTAGAAGGATAATGTTGTATGGTTGTAACACTTAAAACTGGCCAAAGGTGATTGGTGTTAGTAATTTCCCCATATGTTGCCTGTGTGATGCTTTCTGGATACAGTAGTTTGTAGTGGGCCCTCAGACACACTAGCCCTTGGTTTGGCTTTTCATCAACTGCCTTAGTCCAGATGTGCTGGTGAGGTTGGCTTTTGGTTGGATACACAGATGACATCTCTAAGTACAGATTTACTGTCAGCCACATTTCTGTGTCCAGCCCTAGAGATGTTTCTTCCTTACTTAATTAACACTAATGTCAAGATTCCTTGACCGGGGGATTAGTTTATTTCACTCTTAAGTTCTTGGATATTTGCCGTCTGCTATTAACTGTTCTTAGGCAGAAAGCATAGTAACTTCTATAAATAAGTAGGGCAGAGCAATAATCAGGCAACATGGGCTCATTCTTAATTTGTATTAATGATTTATAGAATTATTAATCCTAAATTCTAAGCCTGGATTTCTGGGAATTTTTGATCCTGTTTTCAGCAATTCCAATGCAAGTCCAAACCTGACTTCCTAGAACATCCCATTTACCACAGAATTCTCCCCCTCCCCCATTTTCTGGGGGTAAAGCAGTGTGGGCTGATGCATGTTGAGCTACTTGTGTGCTTGGTATCATAGTGGTTATGGTAAATGCACAGAACAAAGGGGAATCAGAGGCACAAAATACAAAGATATGCCTTAATTTAAGTTTTAGGATCCATCCTTAATTACGTATGATTTCATCATTTTGTAAGATTGTGGGAGAGTTTGTGGTATTTTTTTCTTAAAACCTGATTTAAAAAAAAATTCTTCCCCAGTTTTAGAAGAGTGTTGAGGTGAACAGGAAGGAGGTAGTGGAGGCCTCCCTACTTAACAGAGCTGTTCTGTGTGTTGATGCAGTTGTCTTGAGAGTTCAAGAATGGCGGCAGATCCAGGAGGGCTTCCCTGGAGCCTGCTTCTTTGGCCTGATCTTAAAACACCAAGTAGTTTAGGGGTGGAGTGGACCAGAAAAGCTCTTAATGGCTTCTTGTTATAGCCCTCACAAAGCTGTGTCAATTCCCTTGCTTTCACAGACTGCTGCCCAGAAGAAAAGATGTTTGGTTTTCACAAGCCAAAGATGTACCGTAGTATAGAGGGCTGCTGTATTTGCAGAGCTAAGTCCTCCAGTTCTCGATTCACTGACAGTAAACGTTACGAAAAGGACTTCCAGAGCTGTTTTGGGTAAGTGCAGTTGATGTTTGTACTGTCTTAGACTGAAAGACATCACAGCATATGGAAATGTTTCTAAGCAAAGCAATTGGAGCAGTGTGCTAATAATTAGAAGCACTTATATTTTAATTCAGGATATTTAAGGCTCCTGTTTTTAAAACAAATGATACCATACCCAACCTGTTTTTTACAGATTAACATGCGGTACCAAATTGTGAAGGCTCTTACCGTTCTAACTAGACAAAGCATTTTGTTGTTAACTTCAGGATATATAAAGGGATTTTTAAAAATTACCCTTATTCTCTCTTACTAATCATGATCCTCTAATATTTTTTCTATACAAGTATATTTTAACCTAATTTGCTGAGGAAGATGATACTCAGACTTAGTGTTCTACCTTGAAACCTGTCAGGATATGTTTTTATTTCATGATTGCATTTCTCACTTATCTTTTGACAATAAACCTCTGCTTAATAACATGGAATTTATTTTCCAACAAATGCCTGAATAAATGTGTAATGTTGAACCATTTACTGTTAGAAATTAATTTCACCACTTTTCTTACCAAAACTTAAATTGACCACTTACTGTTAATCCTAGACTTAGTAATTACTGTGCAGTATTTGGGCATTGTCAGAAAGTACTATGCTGGCCGGGGATTTAGGTCACTGGTTCTGCTGCCTACCTTGCAAGCATAAGGTCCCGAGTTCAATCCCCGGTACCAAAAACGAAAGTCTATGCCTACCATGGCTTTTTTTTTTTTTTTTTGGTGGTACCAGGGGCATTCTTCCACTGCACTGAGCTACATCTCAGTCCTTTTTATTTTTTTGAGAAAGGGACCTCAGTTGCTCAGGTGGGACTTGAACATGCCATCTTCCTGCCTCAGCCTACTATGTATCTAGAATTATAAGCAAGCACCGCTCTGGTTTTGTTTTGTAAAACTAGCCCTTGGTTTGGCTTTTCTTCACCTGTCTTAGTCTAGATGTGCTTGAGGTTGGCCTTTGGTTTGGATACACAGATGATAAAGTACAGATTTACTGCCAGTATCTTCCTGCCTCAGCCTACTACATACCTGGAATTACAAGGGAGCACCACTCTGGTTTGTTTTGTAAAACTGGAATATCATGGCACATTGTTTTCCAAAGGGCACCATTTTACTGATTAATGAAATAACTCCAAATTTCCAGAAGGATTAATTAGACATTGTTTAAAACCATGGCAACTGGGATCTTTTTTCTGGTCTTAGTTTTACTGTTAATTTTTTTTTTTTTTTTTAACTGTTAATTTTACAGACATTTTATTGATGAATTGGTTATTGATTTCCATGCTGGGGAAATTTGTTTTTGTTATTCTAAAACTACCAAATTATATATAGAATTGGTTCTTGGTTCTATACAGATTAATTAAATATACTACAGGAACAGTGGAACCAAGTCATCTCAAATGATTAGAAGTTGTACCTGTGTCACCAGGTGTGGTGGCGCACATCTGTAATCCCACTCAGGAGCCTGAAACAGGAGGATCCCAGTCGAGGCCAGCCTGGACTACATAGTGAGACCCTGTCTCAAAAAACCAAAACAAAATAAAGAAATTGTACCTATCAGCTGTAAACGTACTTGCGTGAATCCTCTAAGGGAAAGAACCCTGACAAAGGCTTGATGGTTCTCTTTCCAGGTTGCATGAGACTCGTTCAGGAGACATCTGCAACGCCTGTGTTCTGCTTGTGAAAAGATGGAAGAAGCTGCCGGCAGGATCAAAAAAAAATTGGAATCATGTTAGTTTATCTTTCTTTTTCCACAGTAATACCTCTTCCTCTTCCCTTTTTTGTTTCCCATTTTGAGGCAGATTCTTCCTAAGTTGCCCAGGCTGGGCTTGAATTTGGCCTCCCAGAGTGCTGGGATTACAGGTGTATGCCACCTTGCCTGGGCATGAGTTTTTCATACAATTTTTTTTTTTGATACTGGGGATTGAACTCAGGACCTTGTGTTTGCGGGGCAGGTGGCGGAACCACTGAGCTAAATCCCTGGCCCCGTACAATATTTTTGATAATCAGAACAACACTGTTAAGGCTTTTGTGTGTCAGTTTAGTTTCTTGGTGCTCGGATGGAACCCAGGATCCCTGCACATGCTGGGCTCTACAACTGAGCTATTCCCAGCCTAGGGTCTCACTCAGTGCTGTCATGCCATAGCTTTCAGGGTTGTGAGATTTACAGAGTACTTCTTTTTAAGTAGGCAGGCATTTTTCCTTGTGCTTTCCCGGTACTACCTTAACACTGTCCTTTAGTGACAGATACTGCAATAGGCTTTTAGATTTGTTACCTTATTAAATATGAGTGTTTCTTTAATACTGTATTTGGAGAAGATCAAAGTTGTGATTTTGAAGGTGATGGAATCCTTTAACACAGAAATCTGCACAGAGTAAATGTGAATGAATGCCCATGTGCAGTAGTATGTCAAGGCTGGACTGTGAGAAGGAGCCTCTGCCCTCGTGTAACTGCCCTAAGGGGTTAGGGTGTGGTGAAAAGAGCTAAAGATGGGGTCTGGAGACCTTGGTCTTAGTCTCTTTCCGTCCCCAGACAAAAATCTTACCTATTTACTGGCTTAGTGAAATAATTGTTCTTTGCCTTGATCTGCTTCAGTCTAAAATTAGACTAACAAAAATAGCCCCCTTGGGCCCGGGATTTAGCTCAGTGGTTCCACTGCCTGCCTCGAAAGCCTCAAAAGCGCAAGGACCCAAGTTCGATCCCAGGTACTAAAAAACAAACAAACAAAAATAGCCCCCTTGCTTCTTTGTGGTAAAATCAGTAGTATATGAGAGCTTTTTAAACTGTAAAACATAATCCTGTAGAAATGTTAGTTATTGAGCCTGATGACGGTAATTTGCAATATAGTGGTTTGAATCTAGAACCTTTGCTCTGAATATCTCTGGGCTTCTTTTTATTTTTCATTTTGAGCCAATCTTGCTGGGTTGTCCAGGATGGGCTCAGCCTTGCAATTCTGCTGCCTCAGCCTCCTAGAATGCTGGAGAATCATAGGTGTGTGACCATGCCTAGGTGGGCTTGATCTTTGTTTTGTTTTTGTTTTTGTTTTGGTACTGGGGATCGAACTCAGGTCCTTGCGCTTGCACAGCAGGCTGCGAAACCACTGAGCTAAATCCCTGGGCCAAGGTGAGCTTGATCTTAATCTAATTGGGTCATCCAGTAATGACCAACCCCCCCCCATACATACATCTCATTTAAATTTATTTATTTATTTAGTACAGGGGATTGAACTTGGGACCTTGTGCTTTCGAGGGAGGTAGTTGAACCACTGAGCTAAATCCTCGGCCCTACATAAATCTTATTTAAAAATTTTTTCCAGGAAGAAGGGAAAGGAAAAATTATGAGAAAAGAAAAAAAATGGAAATGAAATCTATGTAAATAGGGAAGGGTGGAGGAGTGAAGGGATCACAGGTAATGGGGAGAAAAATAAGAACCAAGATACATCATGTACAGGTACAAGCACCCAATGATAAATGTAAACATATTGTATACCTAAAATGTACCAATAAAAGAATTTTTAAAAAAACTTTTATTTTCCAGGGCCAGGGATTTAGCTCAGTTGTTCTGCCGCCTGCCTCAAAACGCAAGGTCCCAAGTTTGATCCCTGGTACCAAAAAAAAAATTTCTTTTTCCCGACAGACTCTTACTGTTACTTCAAAGAAAGCATTAAAAACAACAAGAAAGCAACCCAGGAGTGCTGGTAGCATTGCTGAGGGGTAGAATGTTTGCATGTCTTGTGAGCGCCCCTAGGTCCCTCCCACACCACAGAAACAAACCCCCACAGATAAATTGTACTTCTCTTTATCTCATGTGATGATTAGAGGGGCAAAGAGCCGTCAGTATAGAACTGAGTATAAAATTTGAGTTCTCAAATAGATGTGGATCTATCTCCATCTCCTTTCTTAAGTGATATTAAATATTCATTGTTTTCTTCCAGGTGGTAGACGCAAGGGCAGGACCCAGTCTGAAGACTACACTGAAACCAAAGAAAGTGAAAACCCTGGCTGGAAACAGGATAAAAAGCAACCAGATCAGCAAACTGCAGAAGGAATTTAAACGTCACAGTAAGTTTGGTATTGGAACTTTAGTAGTGAGAGCAATTTTTCAGTTTTTATTTTTGGTTGGGGCTGGTATCTGGAATGTGTGGATCATTTTTCCCCTTATTGGTTTTTTAAAAAGAGCATTTGAAGTTAATTGCTAAAGATGTTACCTTATACTGTGAAATCTTAGAAGTCTATCTGATGTATTTTTTATGAAAAAATAAAATTTCATAACAACAAAGAATAACAATAGTTAATACACTATTATATACTATATTGTTATCTTCAAAGTCTGTCTGATTTTGGTGTCATAAAAGCACCATCAGAGTACTGACTACTCTGATGTCTTTATCAACATCTTAATTTTCTTTCTTTCTGTTTTTTTGGTACCAGGGATCAAACTCAAGTCCTTGCACTTGTGAGGCAGGCAGCAGCACCACTGAGCTAAATCCCCAGCCCCCAACATCTTAATTTGCTAGAAGGTGTATTTCTAGTTTGTTTACTTTGAGTTTCCTGTGCATGCAGAAACTCAGTCCTGGAGATAGGATGTGTTAGTGGACAATCTATGACTAAAGCCCAGATTTTTGGAAAGAAACTGTAGCAATCATCATTCACATGTGGAGCACAGCCAGCCTAGGCTTTCAGGTTTAAGGGCATGTGTCCTGTGGGTGATAGAGAGGAAAATTGAGTTTTGTTTTGTTTTGGTTTTGGGGGTGGTTTTTTTTGGTGCAGGGGATCAAACTCAGGACCCTGCACTTGCAAGGCAGGTGCAGCGCCACTGTGCTACATCCCTGGCCAATAGAATGGAAAATTAATGTCAGATTAATATCAGGTTCACGCGCTGTTACTGGAAGGCTGTGGAGGGTGCTGTGGTGGCATGTCATGTTTGAGAATGTTTCAGATTCTGAAAAGGAACCTCCTGCATATAATGATATTTTTGTCACCCTCAGGGTGTGAGTTACCACTATTGAATCCAACATCACTTTTCACAGCAAAAATACAGGAGTAGTAGGTGGAATGAATAGACCACATAGGTCTGGAGAATCAGTTGTCACCTCATAATCATAGTTCAGGTCAAGCCAGATTTAGAGCTGTCTTGGAATTGTTGTCAGGGGTTAAACACTTGTATTAGGAGCTCTTAGGATTTTAAAACCATCTGTAGAACCTTGTTAGACAAAATGTTATCAGTCCAAACAAAGTAGTCATCATGCTTGTTTTAGAACAATATAGAGACAGCCAGGTGTGGTAGCACTCGCCTGTCCTCTGAGAGGTTGAGCCAGGAGAATCACCAGTTCTAAATCAGCCTGTGCAACTTACAACTTAGTGAAGCCTTCAAAATAAAGATATTTCAAGGGCCAGGGATTTAGCTCAGTGGCACACTGCCTACCTGGCAAGCATGAGGTCCTGAGTTCTATCCCTGGTACCCCCCCAAAAAAGATACTTTGAGACAAGGTCTGAGGGTGTAGCTCAGTGTAAAGGCCCTGGATTTTAATCCCCAGTATCACCAAAAAAAAAAAAAAAAAGAACTGAATTTACCGAGTAAGTAGAGTAGGACATGAAGAACTCATTTTGATACATTTATGTACATAATTGTCTCATTTCCATTTTAGAGATTAGGATAAGAAGCACAGAAAGGCTGTATAACCTTTACCAGATCATTTTAGTAAGTAGTAAAGATGAATTTGAATTTTGGCAGCTCAGTTTCAAGACATTGGAATTTCTACACAGCACTGGGTGAATAGATTCCCTACCTCTGGTTTTGTTTGCTTCCGTGCATCCAGCAACTACCTGCCTGTGTCTGCTGGAAGCATCATTTGTGAAGTGCTGAAAAGAGTTAGACCTAGGGCTTTAGGGTCTGTGTGGAGTTACAGTTACAGGTGTGTGACTCTGGAGTTGCTAGACATTTAACCACAGCCTCCTCACCTGAGAAGTAGGGATCATCATGTACAAAAGTTGCTTTTTATTAAAACAACAAATTCTTACGTATTTTTTTAATAGCATTCTTTGTAAAATTTGTAATGATTTCTGGTTCTTGTAGAATAATTGTTGTTAAGTACCTAGAGTCTTTGGAAGTTTTATTTGAGGGAGAGCATATTTGGGCTGAATCAGTTCTGTGCAGTAAGCAAAGGCTGTGAAAGTTGCTTATTGTCTCCACCTACCTACCTCATGCTGGTTTTTTTTTTGTTTTTGGTACCCGGGATTGAATTTGGGACCTTGCGCTTGCAAGGCAGGTGGCAGAACCACTGAGCTAGATCCCTGGCTGTTCTCTGAATTTTAGAGACTTGCTTTATCCATCTGGTCCAGTACATGTGGGTTGATTTTAACCTATTTGTGATTCCCGTGATACAGCAATATTGTAGACTTCTAGTGTAGTGACTGACCACCAAGATTTATTTTCTGACTTTTAAGTTTATATCAAGACTTCTGAGGAAAATAATATTAAATCAGGTTTAGCCCTCCATCTAATTTTTATTCCTTATTTAAATCAGGATCTGCTGTTTTCCCTTTTTGGGTAAGGTGATGTTTTTCTTTGTCTGATTCCAAGATTTCCTTTATTTAATTTTCAAAGGTTTAATAATGGTATGTCTTGGCATGAATTTCTTGAGTTTATCCTATCCTGTTTGGGCTTTGCATAGCTTCATAATTTGTTAGGTTTGTATCACTTACCAAATTTGGTAAAATTTCTGCCATTTTATTTTGTTACCTTTTCACCTGCACTCTTTGCCCTGTCCCTCTAAGATGGTAGTGATGTGAATGTAGCTTTTTGGTTACAGTCTTGGAGCTTCATTTGTTTTCTTTATTCATATTTGGGTAATTTCCGTTCTTCCAGTTTACTGTTTTGTTTTCTCTGTCTCTGCTGTTGAGCCCATCCACTAAGCTGCTTATTTCATTTATTGTATATTTTCAGTTTGAAATTTTCCATTTGTTTCTTTAATAGTTTTTGGCTGTGTTGTTCCCCCACCTCTCCTGTTGCTGGGGACTAAACCCTGGGCCTTGCCCATGCTAAGCAAGTGGCTCCCCCACTGAGCTCTGTCCCCAGCCTCCCCTTCTTTTTCTTTCTTCTTTTTTTTTTTTTTGTAACAGGAATCGAACTTGGGACTTTGCGCTTGCTTGCAAGGCAAGCTGCAGAACCACTGAGCCAAATCCCAGGCCTCCTTTCTTTTTCTCAACAAAGACTTCCTATTTCTTTACTGAACCCACTTTGTTTCAGCATAATGAAACATTTTTTGTCCTAACTGCTTTAAAATCTTTGTCTAATAATTGTAACATCTGTCACCTTGGTGTTGACATACACTTGCCTTTCATTCAGTTGGAGATACTCCTGTTTTTTTAGTATATATGATATGACTTAGGTTGAAATTATGGACATTTTCAGATTGTGTTGTGAGACTCTAGATCTTTTTTTTTCCTGGATCTTATTTAAGATGGATGTTTTAACTGGGTTATTTAGACACCCTTGCAGCCAGGGAAGCGGGAAAGGTGCCCACCGTGTTTATCACTGCCTTGTTAGAAGAGCCCTCACTGCCTCCATTGACATCCAAGGTAGGGGCAAGTTCTTTGTTACCAGTGGGGGGAATGATTCAGGCTCCCTATGGTGAGAGGGTGCCCTTGTTCCTGGTGGACCATAGTGAAAGTCCTGGCTCCTCAACTGGGCTTCTGGCCACTACGCTACTAGAAATTTGGTGCCAGATGACAGTGTAAATGAAGGTGGGAAATCAAGGCTCCCTACCTGGCCTTTGCTGAGGTGGAATGCAATGGTCCTGTTTTTTCTTTGGTGTTTAGTTGGAGCTTGCTAGGCTCCCCTTTTCCCTGATTCTTTGACAACAGAGCTCAGAGGCTTTTATTGGGGCTTTTGTGTGTGTGTGAGTGTTGAGGATCATTACCTTTTTATTATTTCATCCATAGTGTCTTACAGACTTATTATGGTTTTTTGACTTTGATAGTGCAGAAATAATATTTATGCAGTAGAAACAGTGCTGCAAGTTTCAAATTATGGTCTGTTTCCAAGCTAACTGTATGTGTACAATTCTCTCTTGGTGCTGGGCAGCCAGAGCAAGCCAGGGCTCCCAGTCAGCTGCCACACACTCCCGAGGGCAAACAGCCAATACTTTACAGTATACTGTTGCTAAGCTGTGCTGTTTGTTAGGTGTAGTAAATGCATTCTCAATTTGGCATATATTATAGTGGGCTTATCCAGGGTATAACCCCAGCAGAGATAGAGTAGCATCTGTAATTGTGGCTACGTATAATGAAACTGAAGTTTTTCTTTTCTTTTTTCTGCAGATTCTGATGCTCACAGTACCACCTCAAGTGCCTCCCCAGCTCAGTCTCCTTGCTACAGTAACCAGTCCGATGATGGCTCAGATACAGAGATGGCTTCTGGCTCTAACAGAACACCGGTGTTTTCCTTTTTAGATCTTACATACTGGAAAAGGTAAAAGCAACAGAAAATACCCTGTAATCAACAACTCATCTTAATTATAGGCAGCAGTTTCCCATTTCTGTAGCAGCTAAATAACATTTGGCAAACAGCTGGTAGCACATATAGTTGGAGGTGGTTTGATCACAAATTGAGCAGGGTGTTGGGATTCAGTTTTTCCTCTGTAAAATTGATTGATGATAAAAAAAAATACTTCTGTGTACCTTCATTTCCTGAAATGGAGTAGATTAAAAATTCTGGGGCCGGGGATTTAGCTCAGTGGTTTTGCTGCCTGCCTCACAAGCACAAGGTCCCAAGTTTGATCCCTGGTACCAAAAAAAAAAAAAAAACCCTTAAAAAAAAAAAAATTCCGACAACTATCAGTTTTAACCTCCTAAAAATGTGTATGTGCTAGACAAATTTTTTATTTTTTGGTACCAGGGATTGAACTCAGGACCTTGCACTTTTAGGGCAGGGGCGGAAATAGACATATTTTTAAAATGTGTGGCCTCAAAGTCCAAGAGTAGAGTAGGAAAGGGAAAATATTTTCAAAGGAAAAGTAGTTAAAGAATTTTCTAGATTACATAAAACAAATACAAAATAATAACAAATTTCGACCAGAAATACATCATGGTGAAATTACAGAATATGAAAGAGGAAATAGATCTGTAGTAGACAATGAGAAAACAGGATTTAAAAAATATGTATTATAAGTATCAATTCCCCACAATGAATATATTCCTTACGTAAAATGATCCTGTACTAATAAAAATATTTAAAATATTTTCAAAGGAATAAGAAACACAAAAAGCTGAGTTCTTAGACCCATGAATGAGGAAAGTGAGAGAAAACTGTGGTTTAGTATCTTCAGTTGGCCAAGAGATACTAACTCTCAACTCAAAATTATATATGTAGTAAATACAGCTTTTGTGAATAAGGGCATAAGACATTTTAGGTGAAGACAAAGTTTGTGATCAAGTTGACCCTCAAAGAGGCAGAAGGAAAGATATTCCAGATAGAAATTCTGAGAGAAAGGAAGGGGAAATAGAGTAGTAAACAGGTAAGTTTGAAATGACAGTAGTTACGGTGAGGTAGATAAAAAGAAAGACGGCTGGGGATGTAGCTCAGTGGCACAGTGTCTGCCTGGCAAGCGCAAGGTCCTGAGTTCAATTCCTGGTACCAAAAGAAATAAATGACTAAAAAGAAAGAATTACATGATAACCATTAACGTTTAACTGGAGGTAGTAAAGGTAATCAGGTTGTGTCCAATGTCCTCTGCATTGTTAAGAATAATAAGTTCACTATCCAATTAAGATGAGAGTAGTTCCCTATCAAAAAGATGCCAAAGCAGGAGAGGGAAGATGTAGAAAAATGGGACAAATACAAAAGTACGGTAATACTTGGGAGAATAGGGCTGGGGATACATTTCAGTGAGTAGGTTCAGTCAGTCCCCAACACTGTCCTCAAAAACAGTGAAATATATCCAGATGAGCTGATGTTCAATAAATATAAATGATTATATGAGTCCATATAAACATAGCTAACATACTTAATTGTGATAAAATGAAAATATTTTCTCTAAGATTAGGGATAAATCTAGAAGTGTTAACTATCACCATTTCTCATTAACATAATACGGGCTTTTAGCTAGTGTAATATTGGTGGGTGGTGTGGTGGTGGTGGTAAGTAGTAAAACTTTTGTGTGTGGGAGGCTGTTTTCATTAAGTGTATTGGTACATTTTAGGTGTACAATATGATGACATTCATCATTGGGATTTGCACCTCTACATGATGTGTCTTGGTTATTACATTTTCCCCATTCCCCTGTCCTCCCTTCAACCCCTTCACCCCTCCCTATTTATAAATACTTTGTTTCTCTTTCTTTCCTTTTCTCATATTTACTCCTTTCCCTTCTTTCCTTTCCCCTACTCCTCCTAGTTTCCCTTCCCCTTTGGACCTTTTCTTCCTATTTCACATTATCTGTTATACATACTGATCTTTATTTACACTTTCAGTTTCTTACACTAGAGAAACTATTTGGTATTTACACATGTGTGTCCTTATTTCATTTAAGAGTATAGCCACAGTGTGCATCCACTTAGCTATAAATGACTCTAGTTTCTTGTTCTTTTTTTTTGGTACCGGGGATCGAACTCGGGACCTTGCGCTTGTGAGGCAGGCGCCAGAACCACTGAGCTAAATCCCCAGCCCCTAGTTTCTTGTTCTTTATGGCTGAGTAGTATTCCATTTTATTTTTTAAAAAACCACATCATTATCTAATCTCCAGTTTATGTGCAATTGGGCTGTTTCCAAGTTTTGGCTATTACAAACTGTGCTGCTATAAACATGGGTGTGCATATATTGCTGTGGTCTGACTCCTTTAATTCTTTTGGGAAGATACCCAGCAGAGGAATAGCTGGGTCAAATGGGACCTCTCTAATCCTAGTTTTTTTGCGGTGTCTCCATACTGATTTCCACAGTGGTTGCACCAGTTGGAGTAGTAATACTTTTGAACAGTGCTTCCTTTACACATGGCACTTTGTGGGTGGGTTACACATATTAATTCACTTAAACCTTATGACGGCTCTATAAAGCATGTGGAAACAGAGAGTAAATTATCTAAGGTTAACCAGTTAGGAGAATATAGTTTAAACCCAGGCAGTTTGGTATTAGAATGCTACGTTTTTCAAAATATTTCAAAAGCCTTTTATGGAGAAGTTATGTAAAAACCATATAACATTATAAACAACATCTTAAAATACCTAAATAACAAGCCAGGTGTGGTAGTCCACACATGTAATCCCAGCACTTTGGAAGTAAAGGCAGGAGGATCACAAGTTAAAGTTCAACCTGGGCAACTTAGCAAGACCTGTTCTTAAAATTAAAAATACAGGAAAAAACCAAAAAAACCCCAACCGAAAAAATACAGGGCCAGGGATTTAGCTCAGTGGCACTGTGCCTGCCTTGCAAGCGTAAGGTCCTGAGTTCGATCCCCGGTACCCTTCCCCCCCAAATATATATATAGGGCTGAGGATACAGCTCAGTGCAAAGGCCTTGAGTTCAGCCCCCAGCACTTCAAACACAATGAAACCAGCAACAACAAAATCAAAAGGTATGACATGTTCATGGTTATAGCAAAACTGAATGTTACAAAAATGATCATTTTATAGATTCATGGTAATTACAGTCAAAACCCCAACATATTTGAGGAATTTGACCAGATTTACAGTTTATATAGAACAGTGAAGCAGAATAAAGAAGATGTAGGTATATTTGCCTTGAGAAATCAAGACATACTATAATTGATACAGTATGTTTTTGGACTAGGGATAAAAAAAATAAGCCAATGGAATGAAGTATAGAGACTAGAAATAAGTCCATATAATATATATGCAAACTTGTTATTCTTACCTCACCACATATACATCAATTATAGGTTAATTAAAGTAGAAAATAATGACTTGGGTAAGAAAGAGGTCTTATAACAAAAAAAAGGTACCAAGTTTGAATACATTATAATTAGGAGTTTAAATTCATGAAATGACACCATAAGAAAGTACAATGAGGGTTGGGGATTTAGCTCAGTGGTGTTGCCGCCTGCCTTGCAAATGCAAGGTCCTGAGTTCAATCCCCAGTACCAAAAAGAAGAAAGTAAAATGATACTTACATCTGGAAGACATGACTTCTGTAAAGGAAGCAAAAGATAAGCCAGAAGAAAAATGAACACGAGACTTAAAAAGGTGCCACACAGAGGGCTGGGGATTTAGCTCAGTGGTTCCACTGCCTCCTCGCAAGTGCAAGGTCCCGAGTTCAGTCCCCAGTACCAAACAAAACAAAACAAAGGTGCCACACAACTAGCTGAATGTGGAGTGGTGGTGCATGCCTATAATCCCAGCATTGTAGGGGGCTGAGACAATTTAGCAAGCCCAGCCTGGGATTTTAGCAAGAGCTTGTCTCAAAAAATATATTTTAAAAAAGGGAAGGGGTGCAGTTCAGTGCAAAGGTTCATAGATTTACTGTCCAATACTGTGCCAAAAGAAGAGGAAGGTAGTAGCGCATAAAATAAATAGCTAATTAAGTGAAAACATGTTCAAATGTTTTGATATTTAAGGAAGCACAATTTAATTGTACATGTACTAGATCAGTGAATACTAGAATAAGATTTGCAAAATATTGCAGAGAGACTGGAAAGGTGAATTGTTGATCATGGGAGCGAACAAGTATTATAACCATGTTGACTAATAATAGGTATTGTTGAGTAAAGTCGAAGACGTTCCCAGTCCTGTATGCTAACAGTATAACCCAGGAAACAATTTTAGGATGTATACACTGACACGTACAGCGGTGTTTTGTCATGGCAACAGTCATACACCGGAGGGAGAGTGGATAAATAAAACTGGATAGTTGTGTGGTAGAGTATTATATGTGACAATGAAATACAGCCCTATAACTACGTGTCTCAGTTCCTCAATGTTGAGCAAAAATTGCTAAATACAGTGTGATTCTTTGTGTGTTTATGTAGTAGATGATGTAGCAATATACAGTATTTAGAGATACAAACAGCAGAACCAGAAAACAATAAGGAAAAGGGGATGTGAGAACCCTAGAGCAGTGATGGCGAACCTTTTCAGTGATGACAAACGTCTGGCTGTGGCACAGTGCCCTAGAGCCAAGGGAGGGAAGTCTGAGATAGAGCAGAGTGTGCCTGAGAGGCCTGCACAGTGGCTCCTCAAGAAGTGATCTGTTCTCATCAGGATGTGATCATGGCTGTTGTCAGTTCTAATGCCTGTGTATAGTGACAACGCATGTGCATACTTTGGTCTTCTCAGTTAACTAAAATCAAATCACTACCAGTATCTGCTTGTCTCTGGTGACTGTACTATATTTCAAAGAACTAAAAGTCTAGAAGGAAATAGTTAACTTTAGAAGCAGCCTCTGAAACTTGCTGCTGACTCTCGAAATGGCTTCTCCTTCTCTAATATTCAAGAAAATCCCAAAGTGGCCTTAAAGGGGACCTGGATAATTTCCATCCTCTAATCAGTTTGTGGTCAGTCTAGGCGTCCTTTTACTGAGGATGTGATAAGATTGCAGAAGTAGAAACTTTGCGTTGTGTGTGGCTTGGTATTTACTTTTCTACTTTAATGTCTTTTGTTCTCCATTTATCCTTTTAGACAGAAAATATGTTGCGGGATTATCTATAAAGGCCGCTTTGGCGAAGTTCTCATCGACACACACCTCTTCAAGCCATGCTGCAGCAATAAGAAGGCGGCTGCAGAGAAGCCGGAGGAGCAGGGCCCTGCGCCGCTGCCCATATCCACTCAGGAGTGGTGACCGAGGTTCATGTAGAAGGGGAACAGAAATGATTCAAAAGACCACAAAGCAACAAACTGATCTCCTGTTTTTAACTTGGATACCTGCTATTCTGCCAAAAGACATTTTCTAGAATAGTTTTGAATGAGTTATTTTCCCCGGTCCCACCAAACTCTGAAGCCAGTGTCTAGCTTACTAAGAGAAAAGTGTACATAATATTTAAGATGCTGAGTATTTCATAGGAAAGCTGAATGCTGCTGTAAAGTGCTCTTTAAGTCTTTTTTTTTTTAAATCCCCTTCTAATGAATGAAATAGGGGAATTTCAGGGGACAGAGATGGGATTTGTTGTATGATAAACCCTATGTAGTTGTAGTCTTTCTATATTGAGAAGCAGTGGTTGGGGCAGTTTTTAAGATGGCTGGCTACACTTGTTTTCCCTCGTAATAAATTTGTCATAACTAGGTAACAAACAGGACTGGCTCCTAGAGGTAGTTGCTAATAACTGAAATATTAGGGTCTTGCCAAGGTTCTGATGATTCAAACCTGTACTACTGATTATTAAGCAGGACAGACTGAGCTTTCTGCTGCAAATACCTTGAAGGAGGAAGTGGTTTTAAAATCCACAGAGAACAGCCAGGTGTGGTGGTGGACGTCTGTAATCCCAGCACTCAGGAGGCTGAGGCAGGAGCATCGCTGAGAGTTCAAGGCCAGCCTGAGCAACATAGCTCAAGACATGCCTGCACTACATACAAAGCGAGACACTGTCTCAAAAAAACACCACCCCACACAGGTAGCTTGGCTGTGTATGTTGTATTCTGTGTCACGTCCCTTCAGGTTAATGTTCGGTAAAGACTACGTGAAACTGCAACTGCAAGCAGAATCACCTCCCAGGGAGATAGCAAGTCCGTAGGACAGGCAGGTCGCTCTGAGCAATGTCAAAGCATCGCCACACAGTGTTACATGTCAGGCTGTGTGCATGTCTTCAGGGTGGCACGAAACGAGTTCGTGCTTCTTGGACATGTTTTTTAGAGGGCTTGCCGAGTGTGTAAATAATTGGCTTTGTTGTTACCTGACTGATGACTTCACTGAAATCTCCGCAATTCAGTTTCAGCTCTGGATTACTTCAGTTGACCTTTGTGAAGGTCTTAGTGGTGTAAAGTAGCTGACTTGTTCTGACTTACTAGGATTTTTAGGGTTTGTTTTCACTCTTTTAAAGTAAAATTTAGCAGAAGAAAAGAAGTGTGTGTTAATGTTAAGCAGGTTGGTTTTGGTTTGGCTTCCTTCATTCAGTTAAGTTTTTTGAACATTGAGATGAGCTTGAGCATGGAGCTTTTTAATTCTAAAATGCTTATTAGAAGCCTCTCACTTGAACCCAAACCAAAGTATACTCTTTGCCTCTTTCTGAAAGTTCAGGAAGAAAATAGCACCAGTTCAAACTTCTCATAATGAGGGAGGAGCATTTGCTTGCCTTACAATACTAACATGACTCAGTGCTTTCTTTTAAAATTGGATTTTTAAAATTGGATAGTATCGTATTAAGGAGTAAGCCACTTTTTATGGGCACCCTAAGGTTTTATAGCTCTTAATCTAAAGTTAACATTTGATGTTTCTTCCTTTTGGGAAAAACCCCATGTACTCATGCCATTAGCAGTGAGGTGGTGGCTTTCCACGGCCTCCCAGGGTATGACAAGGGTCCAGCCATCACATCCTCCTGAGTTGTTTTGAAATGGTTTTCTTTTTTTTGTACATTTTGGCTGCAGTATTGGTGGTAGAATATACTATAATATGGATCATCTCCACTTCTGTATTTATTTATTTATTACTAGCCCTCAACCACAGTCTTCTGTTTCCCCTTCCACCTCTCTTGCCTGTAGGATGTACTGTATGTAGTCATGCACTTTGTATTAATATATTAGAAATCTACAAATCTGTTTTGTACTTTTTATACTGTTGGATACTTATAATCAAAACTTTTACTAGGATATTGAATAAATTTAGTCTTATTAGAAAATAAAAGCTGTTTTGTGGCTTTTTATTCCATGTCTTTGGTAAGAATAACTAATGTTCTTGTTTTCTGGGGGTTTTTTTTGGTACCAGGGATCGAACTGGAGACCTTGCGCTTGCAAGGCAGGCAGTGGCACCACTGAGTTAAATCCCCGGCCCTTGTTCTTGGTTTTCACAGATGCTCAGTCTAATCCCTTAGTATTTCGCCTAGCCAAGAAATAAAGACAGACTTTAAAGGATTTTTTAAACTGATGTGTATAGTAATTAACTCAGTGTTTAAGATGATTTAGCAGTGAAGAACAGAATGTTCGCAGTACTTTAGTGTCCGTGATGTGGTTTCATTATCTCCTAGTCTGCTTCTTACTGGTCATTCAAATAAATTTTTCAGAATTATGAGGAATCCCGAGGTGTAATCCCTATCAAAGTTCTGAAAGCGGATTGTTTTATTACTGGTGAAGGTAGATCTGTGGACCAAACTCTGTACTACTGTGGAGGTTTTTTTTCTTGCTTATTTGTGGTGTTGGGGATCAGAACTATGGCCTTGTGTGCTAGGCAAGTGCTCCAGTACGGTACTCCCCCAGGCCCAGGCCCTGCGGAGGAATAATTCTGCCTTGGAATAGTCAGATGGTTTCATTGGCACCTAATGTAGTGACTGAAGTTACCTACCGACTTGGAATAGTGGAAAGGTGATAGTTTTGTTTTACCTATTGCTGTGGAGCAAGTTGCCACAGTTCAGTGGCTGAAAACAAATTTAAGCTCAAGTTCTGTGGGGCTCAGCTGAGTGGGATGCCGGTGGTCTTGGAAGCCGCCTCGGCGTCAGCATGGGCTCAGCCCACGTTCACTGGTGGAGTGGCACAGCCCACCCTGGCTTTGCCCTGCCTCTCCTCCAGCTGTGGGACCCAGCACCCTGCCTTCTTACTAGAAGGTGCCCCCCTGGGTTACTTGCCACCTGGGATCTCCCTCTGTGACCTCACTGCAGCAAATGTACAGGGCTGTCTGCCCTCAAGACAAGCTTCAAGTCCTTCCTGTGTCCAAGGTGAAGGGTATACAAAGGAAGGAACATGAAAGGTGGAGTGTGGGTTAAGAGAAACTTCCCTCATTATGAAATGGCTACTGTGGGCCAGGTGCTTTTTCTTTTTTCTTTTTATGAGACGGGCTCACTGTGTAGCCCAGGCTGGCCTTGAACTTGTAGCAATCATCCTGTGTCAGCCTCCCAAGTGCTGGGATTACAGGCATGCACCACCATGGCCAGCTGGGCCAAGGGCTTTTAAATATTGTCTAAAGCTATAAAATAACCCATTCACAGGTAAGTAAGTAAAGGTATAAGGAAGTTGTTATTTGAAGAAAATCCACTTTTTTTTTTTATTCTAAAGCCTTTTGCTCTTCTAACTTTCTTCCCTCTTTCTCTCACCCTCTTCTCCCTGCCCCTCTCTCCTCTCCCCAAGGTCTTGCTGTGTGACCCAGGCCAGCCTTGAACTTGAGATCCTCTTGCCTCAGCCTTCTGAGCACTGGGATTGCCTGCACTTACATGCCCAGTGTTATATACACTCTTCATCTTAACCTTCACGAGGAAAAATGGCCTAGGTCTCTTCTGCTCCCCTTCTTGGTGAGGGCTGAAAATGAGGGGCAAGTTACCCTTTCAGGGAGGCTGTCCTTTTATAAATCAGTTTCGGTTTTTGCTACCTGCTGATAGTGCATATTCTGTATTGTCTTTCTGTGCAGAAAACAGTCCTTTGGGGTTTAGTGAAAAAACTAGGTATCCTCAAAATTAAAGTAGCAGAAGGCCCTTCAGCCCTGCAGTGGAAAACAAGGTGCCCAGGGAAACACTGTCCTAACACCCGAGTTAGCCTGGTCCCTGACTGGGAGGGTGGGGGAGCCAAACTGGACAAAGATAGGTCATTTCACGGGCTTTTTCTCAGAGAAGGATAGGAGGGTTCTGTTGGACAGTGTCTCAAGCTGTGGCGTTGGGTTACTCATTGTAATCCTGACAACGCTCTAGGTGTCAAATTCCTTACACTGTGGATACAGACTGCCTGTTACTGCAGGTTGAGTAAGGGTCTTAGACAAACATTTGCAAGCTTCAGTGTAAAGGAGTTTAGTCACTCAGTGTAGAGAAGCTTTGTTAAAGGCTGCCCTGTGTCTCTAGGATGTCTGTCCTCTACACTTCTGTAGTTTAGGTTAGCTTCACCCTGTCTGGGTGTGGGGTTTTTTTGCAACTGCAAGGAAGAGTGGTTGTTTTATGTTTAGGCTCTGCATTTAAATCTCAAGCTGAGCACAGTGGGGTACACCTACAACCCCAGCACTCGGGGAGGCTGAGGCAGGAGAATCTTGAGCCCAGCCTGCACAACTTAGACCCTATCTCAAAAGTGGGGCTGGGGATGTAGCTCGGTGTGATCCCTAGTACCACAAAAACAAAAACTTGAAGTTCTTTGGCAAGGCCCTGCTAGTGTTAGAATAGGAACTTGAACAATGTTCCTTTCTTTTCTTGGTAGCAAGTATATTCTTGGTTTTACAAACCAAGCCGCTTTTGGTTCTGTCTCCACCACTGCAGCTTGTTGATTGATGGCTTTGGAGGGGAAACTCCAAAGGCCTCACCTTGCTCATCTACCCATAGCCTCTGCTGGGCCTTTGGTGTGGCCAGTGCTGCTGTGCGGGGGTGCTGGTGGTGTTAAAGAGGAGCCCTGGCCTTCTGCCTCCTGCCAGGCTGCACCCCGCCATTCAGGGACCAACTGGCAGTTTCCTCTCGTCCTGTAGGCCCACTGGGCCCGCCACTCCCTGCCCCTGCAGACTGTTCCCCTGGTACCGAACGCCAGCTGAGGTGTGCGGTGGCCTCCCAGACCCATCTCCAGAGCTTATCCGTGGGTGCTGGCAGGAAATGGACGGCACATTGAAATTGGGTAATTTGAGGGGAAGTTAGCAAGGATTTTCTTCTTTTTGGCATGGTGGGATTACCAAGGTGTGTACAAGGGTGGGTGACCAAGGGAGAGTGCGGTGCCCAGGCCAAGCAGCGTTTTTGCTGGTAATGTCAGGGTGCGGTTGCTACTCCTCGGTCTACACACGAGCTGTGTCTGATGTGCTCAGCTGAATCTCTTGAAGGTATGCTGTGCCACTGTCACACTTTACCCAGATCCTCACTAATCTCACAGTAAGAGCATTTCACTTAGCTATAACGTCTTCGCCACACTGAGCTAATGGTGACCCACATGCGATGTCATCTGCATGGAATCAATTGGCCCTTTTGCCCCCGTGTCTTTCTCCTTCACCCAGAATCTAGTCGGTGTTCACAAGTACACTTGGTTGTGTCTTGCTTTTCATCCAGAATAACCCTTTGTGACAGACTTTTTTGATGTGTCCAAGCCAATTGTCATGGCCCATATTCTGGATATTTAAGGGTTTGGTTTTTTTTGTCTTGTTTTGTTTTTTGAAACACAGTCTTGCTATACAGTTCAGGCTGGCTTTAAACTCACTATATAGTCCAGGCTGGCCTCAAACTCATTGCAATCGTCCTGCCTCAGCCTCCTGAGTGCTGGCATCATAGGCCTGCTCCACCACACCTGGCTCTGGTGGGTTTTTTAATAGATTTGGATTAAGGTTTTTTGGGCAAGAAGAGGCTGTGTGATGCTGCTAACCGTTACCAAGCACCTAGTGTCAAGTTTGTGAGGCTGAGATGAGCCACTCGGTTAAGGTGGCGATGCCACATCTCTTCATTAGACTGAACGATCTGTGTAGCGAGACTGTTTCAGTGTTTGTTTTTGAGACAGGGTCTTACTATGTAGTTTAGGCTGGCCTCAAACTCACAGCGATCCTCCTGCCTCAGCCTCCTGAGTTCTGGGATTACTGGTGTGTGCCACCTGCCTGGTTTGAGACTGTTTTAAAACACCCATGCATTCAAATCCTATGTGGTGTATGTTAAGTAGTCCTTTGACACCTGGGAGTCCTGTCCCTTCACCTAGCAGTCCTGGCCTACTCTGGTGGCTGTGCTTTATCTTCGCCATCGAATTGCATAAGAGTGTATTTTCTTGATTTCTCTCTGGTCCCCATTCCGAAGTAAAGATGCAGAGAGGGGTGGAGCTTGCATTCCTTACATGAGCATATTAATATCACCAGGTCACAGAGAGTCAACAGTGAGTTTAGAAAACATGATTCAAATCCCGGAGGTTCTGCTTCCTGGTGTTACGATCACAGACCGTTTCCGTTTCCGGTCTGTGATCCAGCTCATCATCTGTGAGCTGGGGTCTGAAACAGTCCTGGACAGCCGAGGGTAGAAAGCTGGGCGTGGCAATGGGCATAGGTGTCCATGCTCGAAGAGAAAGGTTGTTCCTGCAGAACTACTGCCCTGTAGCACGTGAGTCCTGGGAGGAGAGGTGGCAGAGGGCAGAGGGCAGAGGGCAGAGGGCAGAGGGCAGAGGGCAGAGGTGATGCCAAGGCGTCAGGACAGGCTGGGGTGCGCTTGCAAGGTGATCTTGATGTTGCACACTGCACTAGTGTGAGGCCCCGCTCAGCCTCACACTGAGGGCTGACCACGGCCTCCTGCTTCAGCATCCCGGATCCAGAAATTGATCACTGCGGGGACCCTGCGCCCTCCCACACGCCCGGCTGGGGGCTCTCGACTCTGCCTTTTGGTTTCTCCTTGAGACAGGCCTCGGGCTTCTGCAGCTTCTCTTTTCCAAGTAAACCAGTGACAAAAGGTGGAAAAATAAACAACAAAACCATATTCCCCAGCCCCGTTTTGTTTTGTTTTATTTTGTTTTGAGACGGGCTTGCTGAATTGCCCAGGCTGGTCTCAAACTTGGGATACCTAGGACGTCAGTATCTCCACTGTTAAAGGGAAGACAGCTCACCGGAGACCGCCCCAGAGAGCTGCCGGGAAGAACCCGCCTCCCCGCCCCAAGGTTCTCCTGCTGCTGGTCCAGCTGAAACACCGCTGGTGGGTCCTGGATGCATGTTACTCCGTGGATGTCCACAAGGTGGAGCTCGTCGCACTGAGTTCAGGGCCGAGACTGTTCCACCCA